ACCAAGCGGGCCCCATATAGGCATCGGGCGATGCCTATTCATTTCAAATCCGTCACCTGATTTCTCCCCGACCTCTACACATCGCACGATGCCCCAAAATCGTGTACACCGCCCGAATTCCGTGTAATGTGAACTAGGCATGATAGGCATCAGTCAATCAATACCTTTAAACAGATCCCTGTACATTTTACGCAGCGCTTGAAATTTATGCATTATTCGACCAGATACTCTGATTTTTATTTTTATTCTTCCTTTTCTGTCCCTCCTGGTTTCTTTCATTTTTTCTTCCTTCGGCCTGGAACACTTCCTCCCTTTTGGGGGAGAGAGGGGAGGGGGGGGGGGGGGTGTGGGTATATCCCCAAGCACCTTTACAAGTGTGCCAGTGATATCGGAATTATATTCCATTATTTTGTACCTGCTCACCTCACTTAAGAAGATTGGTTTTCCTTGTTGAAGGGCGCCAACATGGAAACATACATCGATATAATAATACGAACTATGACAAAGCATACGACCATTGGTTCATATAGCCACATTTCGATTCATAACCAACACTGATCAGCGGTGACTTTTCCTATTTGTTTCAAAATATCCTAAAGAAAGATGTGGCAGCTCTTTTCTTTTGTTGTAGGAATGTTTATCTGTTCATATAGTAAGTATATTCTGAATTAATCTGAACGATTTGTATTTTGAATCTCATGTTTTCATGTTGATACACCACACATATTGAATGTGACTAATAAGATTAATCGAGCTATTGCATGCACTAGAAGGATTAAGAGTTACTTGAACCAACGCCTACTGAAACATCTTTATTACTCCCTCATTCTTCCACATATAGATTACTGTTCAGTTGTTTGGGGCAAGTGCAAAAAGAAAGATTTACTCAAATTACAGAGGACGCAGAACAGATACGCAAGATTAGTCCATAATGCAGACTATCTAACCCCAAAATACACCCTTTTAAGCAGTCTTCAATGGCAAAGTGTTGAAAATAGAATCAACTACCACTACTGCATTTTCGTCTACAAAATAATCAATAATCTAGCCCCTTATTATTTAGAAAATTTTGCTTGTAAACGCCCAGTTTACTATGTTACTCGTCATTCTACCTTAAATCCCTTATTCATCCCGAAACACAAGACTGAATTTAAAAAACGTTCTTTTTCTTTCATCGCTTCAAGCATCTATAACAATTTACCGACTCATATTCGCACGGCAACTTCACTACAAATGTTCAAAAACCAAACGAATCACTCCCTCCTTCACTTTAATGCATGCACTGGTACCTAATGTTATATCATGACTTATTACAGTTAGTTTTGTTTGCTTTGTTTGTTTGTAGTTGTGTAGTCTGTAGTAGTTTTATTGTCTGTTCTTAATGGCATGTGTATTTGTATTTGTATTTTGTATTGTATCAATAATATCCTAAATGTTTAATATTTCAGGCCTTATGTTCATTTTGATCTAGTTTTAATTTGTTTTAGTTTTTTTTTTTTTTTTTTTCTTCTTCAATCTCTTATGGTATGTTGTTTATATTTAATGTCTTTGTTTTCTACAATGTATTCTATTTGTTTGTAAATCTTTGTATGTACAGGGCTCTTTTGTAAACCAGGCCTTTGGCACTGAACAGACTACCCTGTTTTTAAATAAAACTGAATAAATAAATAAATAAATAAAACTTAATAAGGAAATCTATCACAATCGCAAGACTTCGAGAAATAAACTCAAGGGTGATTTCATTACTTTACGGTATATCATACACACATCATGTTCGGATAAGGCGATACGTCTAAATTACCTAATATGATGGACTAGGTTATTGTAACATACTTATATTGAATTTATTAGAGTTTTTATGACGTTGCATTATTTTTACCTATTTTCTTTCGGTCTGTTTCCCGAATTTTCTTTTCTTCTTCAGCAAATGTGGATTACACAAAAGTAGGAGTACATGATTTGTACCACCTAAAATATAATTGTTATTGCTTTAAATGGTATTTCAATAATACAATCCTTTTTTAAGTGCAGATGGTGAAGTCTCAATTATTGGAAAGAATGTTACTCTGGAATGCCCTGGAACTGCAAGTTCTGCCGAGATAATAAAAATAAGGTGGATAAACACTAACGGTACAGAGGTATTTTACTGTGAACGAATCATCTGTAAAGTGAACACTCCTGACCATGCATTAGCGACAGTGGATACGTTCATCAGCTTTCTAACCATTCAAAATGTCTCATTGGATGACGAAAACGAATACGGTTTCAAAATGACTGCTTTAGGAGAAAAGAAGGTGGAATGCAAACGCAACTTAACAATAATAGGTATACATTTTATTGATATATCTAATATTTTCCTTCAAATATACTGTATATTTGGATATAATGGAGGAAGAGACAACGGCCGTGTTTATAAATAATTATTCATATAAATTAGATAAGCAATAAGTTATTGTGACTCTCAAATTCTTGTGTATCTTTCTTTTCTAACTTACACTTGCTTTTCTCCCTAATTGTGGGACATGTTAATCGTTCAATTTTATTCACGGAGGTTTTATATTTATTTATTTATATTCATTTGCCCTTGTTCCCTGTATGCCCTGTCCTCTAGTTAAACACTTGAACCAAACAAAAGCTTCATATTTTATTGATGACTAAACATAATTACTCTCTTAATTTCTAGGACTTATTTTAAAGTCCAAAGAATTTATTCTAAATCCAAGGGGGACTTGGATTTAAAATAAGTCCTAGAAATTAAGAGAGTACTCAACCAACTTATATACTAAAGCCACAATGTCCTACTCTATATAGAAAACAATGCCTAATCGGTGACCATTGGTCGTCCGTGATCATCTTTTTCTTATGTTAGTTGAGAGCTGAGTTGATGAGATAACCACCTGTCCCGATCTTGAGGGGAGGTACAGATAAGCTTTAAGACGTACTCCAGTTTTAAGAGGGTCTTACCATTGCAAGCCACGCCTTTCAATATACCTCTCATTTTCCCATGAAATATACTGTCAAATTTGCTTAATTGTTAATAATGTATTTACACTATTGCAATGTTTGTAATATTGTTTCAAGATGTAATATCCTCCATTACGTTACTTTATTCTATACATTCAAAGCATGTGTAAATAAAATGCAGATTCCAAAAAACAAAATAATAAACTATGTTTATATATCTAATTATGTAAAATATTTTATAATAAATTAAAGCGATTTTCAGTTAAAGCAGTGATAAGTGATTTGAATCTTTTGTGTTTCGTTCAACGTATAGTTCCACCGATCGGTTTGGAGTTGGTCGACGCAGACGGCAATAAGCTGCTTCGGAATAACGGATCGCTTAAAATTACTGAAGGGGAGAAAAAGACAATCGTTTGTAAAACTAATGCACCGACTAAACCAGCAGTAGATTTGGAGTGGATGATCCCGGAAGGATTAAATGTCTCTGCTAATTCTTCAATTCACGTTCAGGATGTCTCAGATGGGCGTCTTTCTGTGCCAATGTTGACATTGAACTTCACATCATATGTATATGATAAGTACATGTTACTTGTCTGCAGGGTGGCTAGCGAATCAACCTTCGATGACCTCAGGGCGTCAATTTACATCAAGAACGAGGGTGAGCATTCTAACATTTGATTTGATTTTAGTTTTTTTCCTCTGTATTCCATATAAAATATCAAAATAAAAATACTAAATTGTACTTTCTAGTTGGTTCCTCTTTTATCTTGCTATTTCTATTATATTTGTCGTTTCATCGCGTATTTTTAATACACTTATTCATTGTATAATGTCTTGCATGAAAAATAAAATCATTTGAAGAAAAAAAATATCATATGCATATTTCATTTCATTTATTTATTTTATTTCATTTATTTATTTCATTCTCCATGAACAAATATTACAACATACAAACATGAAATACAGATAAAGATCGAAAACTAGACGAATTCAAAGGGATGGAGCAAACAACAGTTTATGGGAATGTGGGGTTAACAAAAAAAGGCAATTAGCCTTATGAACGTCAACCCCTTAAAAGTATACACTGTATTGATTGAGAAAAGAAAAAAAAGAAAAAAACAGGGGAAAAAAAGATAGGAGACCGGACGGGGAGGGGGAATATATTACCAAATGCATTAACCGAAACGTGACGTCATTTATTTTGAGACTGAATACAATGATAAAAGATGGGATTTATACAATCGTTTAAAAATATTCATTGAATTCGAGTTTTTCATATTAAAAGTGAAATTTTCCCACAAAACTGGCCCTTTGAAAGAAATTGTATTTTTTGAAACATTTGTACGGATTTTAGGAAAATGAAAATTACCAGCATTACGAGTTTCATGAGAATGTATTTTCAGTAGTGAATGTAAATTTACATGACATGGACCTTGGCAGTAAACCCTTGGAACACATAGGCCTAAACATAAATATAGCAATGTTACAATTATTTATATCATAAACATTTAGAAGCTTTAAATGTTAACAAAGTGTCAAAGTGTGGGCATTGAACGGGGCTTAGTAAATTATTCGAACAGCCTTCTTTTGTAATACAAATAGTTTTGACTTAAAATAATCATAACCATTTGACCATGTAATATTACAATAATTAATGGGTGAAAATGATCAAGGCATAATAAAACATGACATAACATAATCGAAATATAATATTGGGAAGTGTTTTAACCGATAAATAATACCAACTCCCGTAGAAAATCTGTTACATATGACACCAATGTGCTCATGCCATGTCAATATATCAACGATCTAAACACTGAGAAATTTAGTGAAAGAAACACGATTTATAGATATTATTATCAAATTATCATCTTCAACTTTTCATTTTTTTAAATAACATAAATTGAGTTTTATCAATATTTATAACTAATTAATTATGTAATAACCAATCATTTCATTTGTGTTATGCGACGGTAACATGTTCGGATTACTTCCAGACATGAACACACTGGTGTCATCTGCCAAAAGAATAAACTATAAGGGTGGTATTCTCGAAAGCGGCCTAAGTTAAATCAGTGGCCTAAACCTGGTTTAAACCATGGACTATCTTTTTTGCTATTCTCGAAGGTGGCCTAAAGATAAGCCAGGCTTAAATACGTCATAGTTCGGCCTTACTTTAGGCCGCTCAGAGGGCAGGTTTAAATACGTCAAAGTTCGGCCTAACTTCGCGTGACGTCACTTTTTAGTTAAATCGACTGTCCGCGGAGAGTGAACGGTAAGTTTTGCATTGAATTTCTATATTTCATAACAATTTACACTCTTTTGTATCGGATAAGCGCTCATGAAAGTTACACCAGCTAATAAAGTATTTGTGTTACTTTCATGTTGATGTACTGGTGATAATCTAAAATGATTTTAACTGAATAAATTTGGGGGAAACTTGGTAAATGTTCATGGTGTTCGCAGACCAGTCCCATACGTGCAAATAATTGTCGGTTAACATTTTCGTTTCCTGAGATTGAGCAATTTCTTACCGGGTAATTCTTTTTCTTGGCACTATTGTCCTTTCGTACGCATATACCACCTTAACACCACCTTAAAACTGTCATGGCTAGACGTAGAAAATACTTTTATAGTGGATTTTCGAGACGCTGTTGCCTAAAAGTAGACTAGCACTAGGCCTAAATCTAGATCTAGCTGTGTCTTTCGTTCGTTAGCCTCCGATTTGGGTAGGGTCGGCTCCTCTCTTTCAGGAGCCGACCCTACCCAAATCAGAGGCTAACGAACGAAAGAGAGAGAAATTTTGGTCTGGTATCACCTCTGCCTGAGCTGCAGTGCTAGTTGTGGCTGTTGGTGCGATAATTTTCTACAGGATGATGATGATTTTCATAACCACCCATCCCCCCCCCAAGAAAAACTTGTTTTAAAAAACAATATTACTAGACCTAGATTCTAGATCTAAATTTCATCAATAAGAGTCTAGTCTAGACAGATACGTCTAATACAAATTGAAATGAAATGGACAGAAGCTTCCTTTTTTGACATACAGTTGCTGTTGTTACAGTAGTTTAGGCTTATAATGCTTGTTAGTAAACTACAGAGAAATTTTCTGCTATTTCAGGTTCTTTTCAATTGATGCATGGGGATGAAAAACAAGGCCTCTCCCAAGCTATGGTGTCCCGCCTTGTGAAGTCCATCTCAATAGCCATTGCCAGGAGATGGGAGCAATACATCACAATTCCTTCAACAAGAGAGGCAGTCCTGCAGAGTGCAGACCCAACATGAATTTTATAATTACTGCCATTTCCCTGGCGTTAATATGGTCGGTGCTATTGATTGCACCCACGTAGGCATCTCCAAGCCAGTTGGCCCAACACCAGTTATTTCCTGAACAGGAGAAATAGATACTACATTTTTCTTGGAAAGTCTGCTGGTGAGTAAAGCTGTAATTACGCCTAAATTGTGTAAAACTAAATCATGTTTATACAATTTGTATTAAAAAGATCTGCTGAATTTATGAATCTGCAGATGTGTCTACAGGTACATTATGAAGTGATTTAAAATTGTTTTGTCTGATGAATGTAGGTGCAATCTACACTCAAACTTTTATTCATTTTACATGGGCACGAGCTAATATTTTCAGCTCGATTGCCATGGCTATGCTATGGTCACATTACCCAAAAGTAGCCTGCTCGGCGGCCGAGCGGCGAGTTTTTAACCAATTCTGCCCGGGGCTGCCCGGCCACCGAGCGGCGGCCGCTCAGGCACCGCTAGTTTTTAGGGCATCGCTCGGTCGCCGCTGAAGTTTTAGCGCGGAGTTAAAATTTGGGCGGCGCCTGCTCATTTTTCACTCGCCGCCCGGGCACCGACCTAATCGCTGGGCGATGCCTAATTCCAGCAGCGACCGAGCAGGCTACTGATCGGTCGGTCGCTGCTCTGATGTGTGACCATAGCTTACCAGTCACTCCTGACAGTGACAGCTTGGCCTAGACTTTTGGGCGGAACTATCTGAAAATAAGACACAATTAATCAAAAGTTGATTAACTACTTTCAAATTTGGGTCAGAAGAAAATTCAAACCTACCACTAACAATTCTGTACCATATAAGACTTAGAGACCTACAGACTGCAGTACAGTACAGTGCAGTAAATTTTCATTTTACTTTTTCCCCTTTCACGAAGCTCATTTTGGGAGATAACATAACAAAGACAATCTTTGGTTTAATGCTAGATTGAACTAAAATGGAAAAGTTGGGCTCTAACGATTAGGGCCTTGTAAAATCTCCATTACAGGCTGCGTTTACATCTAGGTTAGGCCAACTGTCGGCTGGTTATCTAAGTAAGATGTAGACCTCTAGACTTAATTTTAGGAAAGGGACTAACTTGGCTATAGACTTTAACTACTTAGGGCTTTCTTAGGCCATGACATGGCAAGTACAACTTGGTGCAAGCACATTTATGAGATAGTACTGCAAGAATGTGAAGGTTTGTTCTTGACTATAAAAGAGATACCGGTAGTCATTCTGTAAATCAATGATTACTAGTAACTGAGGGGGGAAGGGGTGCCTAGTCACTGCCTACATGAAAGGCGCCTTAAGTTTTGTTGTTAAAGTTAGAATATGATTGACACTATAACTAAGAACAATTATCAATGGAGTAGATCTTTGATATTTTAATGAGGTCTAAACCTTTTTATTTTGTTTCAGGATGATGTTTTTCTTCAGTAAAATAAATGAAGGCAAATTCCCTGATAAATGAGACAAATTCAGAGAGAGGAAGGAGGACTACTGAGCTGCTGAATTTATGACAGGTAGGCTGTACGAATAAATTGTTGTTTGTATGCCCAGGTACTTCAAGGATGGCTCTTGTTCATTCACATTTTTCCATCAATACTTTCATGTAATTGATTATGCACTCCACTTTTACCACAATGTACATGCAAGACCTTTTTAATGTTTAACAGAAATAGGTTTTAATGTGCTTCCTTTCATTCTTTTCTCTTTTCATTCAACAGACATACTTGCAAGGACTATGAAGTTCTACTTAGCCTCTTCAATGAACCAGACTCCATCTGCTGTAACTGTGACTGCATGGGCATCAAAACCTTTGTATTATAATCCTCATAACATGAAGCTATGGTAACACACAAGCAACCATTGATAAAAAGCCTGATATGTCCTTGTTGTGTGTGTGTGAACCACAAAGCAACCATCACTCATAAGGATGTTTTTATGTACATCAGATGTTCATTGTTTCACTGGAAAAATTGTGATTTTGAATCATTTAAGAAATCATGTTTTATAATGTGTTTTATAATATAGTGCAAGTCATGATGTAACAGATTCCCTGCAAAAGAAACACGGCTCAAAAGTAGACTATGCTTTGTTTAAAACAAATGGGAGAAGGTAATGTAACAAATACATAACATTTAATTCTAATAGTTTCAAGGAGCAGATTATGAGGCTATTTGAGCTTAATATTTGATTTTGACCTTCAATTTTATAATCGTATTCATCGTGAATTACAATCTTTTCTGTTTTGAGAAAAATAAATAAAATTGTTGATATGTTATATACAATATTCCTTTCATATCTTTTGATTTCAAGTGTGCATACTGTTGGGTTCATTGAATTATACATGGAAAAAGTCTTGAAATAGAACAGTGAGAGAACAGAGAGCGAGCGAGAGAGAGAGATAGAGTAAAAGAGAAAGGGAACCAAATGAGAAAGAACAATATAATGGTGAGAGAAATAAACAATGATGTGAGATATTGTGTGTGTGAGAGAGAGAGAGAGGTGGAGATAGGGAGAAAGAGTTAGGGGGGGGGGGGTATAGTGCCCCTTTTTTCAAATGCCCCTTTTTATATAGGAAAGTTTCCTTTTAACTTTGTAAGAAGTGCCCCTTTTTCCATAGGAAAAGTGCCCCTTCCCCTTTTCACCTCCGATAAGTGCCCCTTTAATTTTGACACGCGCCCCTTTTCCTTTGACAAGTTTCCATTTTCCTTTGCAATAAGTGTCCCTTTTCACTTTTGAGAAGTGCCCCTTCACCTCTGATAATTGCCCTATTTAAATCTGAGAGGTGCCCCTATTAACAAAATTATCGGTGCCCCTCTTCTTTCAACAAATGCACATTTCCTTTATTATAATTGCCTCTTTTTCATTCTCATAAGTGCCCCTTTTCAGATGCGATATGTGACCCTTTTCACCTCTGATAATTTCCCTTTTAACAATGATACAATTCCAGCAAGTGCCCTTTTTGCTAGTGCTGCCCCCCGCTTTGGAATTCGCTCCGCCGTCCCTGGATGTCATATTGCTCAAGTCGTCGAGGTGATGCATCCTCTCCACACTGCGCGCATCCATTGTCTTAGCCCATTGTCTTAGTGCATTGTGACGTCGCAGCTTCGGTACTGAGCATGTGCAGAAACTGTAACCATGGTGAATGATCCATGGACTAAGTTAGGCCAGGTTTAAACCATGGATCAGTTAGGCCACCTTTCGAGAAATGAAAATGACTTAGGTCAGCGGCCTAAGTTAAGCCTGGCCTAACTAAACCACGGACTAAGTTAGGCCAGGTTTAACTTAGGCCGCTTTCGAGAATACCACCCATTGGTATTCTCGAAAGCGGCCTAAGTTAAACCTGGCCTAAGTTAAACCGTGGTTTAGTTAGGCCAGGCTTAACTTAGGCCGCTGACCTAAGTCATTTTCATTTCTCGAAAGGTGGCCTAACTGATCCATGGTTTAAACCTGGCCTAACTTAGTCCATGGATTATTCACCATGGTTACAGTTTCTGCACATGCTCAGTACCGAAGCTGCGACGTCACAATGCACTAAGACAATGGATGCGCGCAGTGTGGAGAGGATGCATCACCTCGACAACTTGAGCAATATGACGTCACAATGCACTAAGACAATGGGCTAAGACAATGGATGCGCGCTGAGTGTGGAGAGGATGCATCACCTCGACAACTTGAGCAATATGACGTCCAGGGACGGCGGAGCGACTTCTAAAGCGGGGGGCAACACCAACAAAAAGGGCACTTGCTGGAATTGTATCATTGTTAAAAGGGAAATTATCAGAGATGAAAAGGGTCACATATCGCACTTGAAAAGGGGCATTGAACATATTTTAAAAGGGGCACTTATGAGAATGAAAAAGAGGCACTTATAATAAAGGAAATGTGCATTTGTTGAAATAAAAGGGGCACCGATAATTTTGTTAATAGGGGCACCTCTCAGATTTAAATAGGGCAATAATCAGAGGTGAAGGGGCACTTCTGAAAAGTGAAAAGGGGCACTTATTGCAAAGGAAAATGAAAAATTGTCAAATGAAAAGGGGCGCGTGTCAAAATTAAAGGGGCACTTATCAGAGGTGAAAAGGGGAAGGGGCACTTTTCCTATGGAAAAAGGGGCACTTCTTACAAAGTTAAAAGGGAACTTTCCTATATAAAAAGGGGCATTTGAAAAAAGGGGCACTGTCACCCCCCCCCCCCAACTCTTTCTCTCTATCTCCATCTCTCTCTCTCTCTCACACACACACTATCTCACATCATTGTTTATTTCTCTCACCATTAAATTGTTCTTTCTCATTTGGTTCCCTTTCTCTTTTACGCTATCTCTCTCTCTCTCTCTCTTGTTCGCTCTCTGTTCTCCCACTGTTCTATTTCAAGACTTTTTTCATGTATAATTCAATGAACCCAACGATATGCACACTTAAAATCAAAAGATATGAAAGAAATATTGTATATAACATATCAACAATTATGTTCAATTTATTTATTTTTCTTAAAACAGAAAAGATTGTAATTCATGATGAATACGATTATAAAATTGAAGGTCAAAATCAAATATTAAGCTCCAATAGCCTCATAATCTGCTACTTGAAACTATTAGAATGAAATGTTATGTATTTGTTACATTACCTTCTCCCATTTTTTTAAAACAAAGCATAGTCTACTTTTGAGCCGTGTTTCTTTTGCAGGGAATCTGTTATATCATGACTTGCACTATATTATAAAACACATTACAAAACATAATTTCTTAAATGGCTTAAAATCACAATTTTTCCAGTTAAACAGTAAACATCTGATGTACATAAAAACATCCTTATGAGTAATGGTTGCTTTGTGGTTCACACACACAACAAGGACATATCAGGCTTATTATCAATGGTTGCTTGTTTGTTACCATAGCTTCATGTTATGAGGATTATACTACAAAGGTTTTGATCCCCATGCAGTCACAGTTACAGCAGATGGAGTTTGGTTCATTGAATAGGCTAAGTAGAACTTCATAGTCCCCGCAAGTATGTCTGTTGTATGAAAAGAGAAAAGAATAAAAGGAAGCACATTGAAACCTATTTCTATTAAACATTAAATTGGTCTTGCATGTACATTGTGACCAAAGTGGACTTACATGCACATTGTGGTAAAAGTGGAGTGCATAATCAGTAACATGAAAGTATTGATGGACAAATGTGAATGAACAAATGTACCTGGGCATACAAACAACAACTTATTCCTAAAGCCTACCTCTCAGAAATTCAGCAGCTCAGTAGTTCCCCTTCCTCTCTCTGAATTTGTCTTAATCATCAGGTTATTTGCCTTCATTTATTTTACTGAAGAAGAACATCATCCTGAAACAAAAATAAAAAGGTTTAGACCTCATTAAAATACCAAAGATCTACTCCATTGATAATTGGTCTTAGTTATAGTGTCAATCATATTCTAACTTAAAAAAAACAACTAACTTTCATGTAGGCAGTGACTAGGCACCCCCTCCCCACTCAGTTACTAGTAATCATTGATTTACAGAATGACTACCGGTATCTCTTTTAAAGTCAAGAACAAACATACACATTCTTGCAGTACTATCTCATGTGCTTGCACCAAGTTGTACTTGCCATGTCATGGCCTAAGAAAGCCAAGTTAGTCTCTTTCCTAAAATCAAGTCTAGAGGTCTACATCTTACTTAGATAACTAGCCGACAGTTGGCCTAACCTAGATGTAAACGCAGCCTGGAATGTAGATTTTACAAGGCCCTAATCGTTAGAGCCCAACTTTTCCATTTTAGTTCAATCTAACATTAGACCAAAGATTGTCTTTGTTTACTTTATCTCCCAAAATGAGCTTCGTGAAGGGGAAAAAAGTAAAATGAAAATTTACTGCACTGTACTGTACTGCAGTCTGTAGGTCTCTAAGTCTTATATGATCTAGAATTGTTAGTGGTAGGTTTGAGTTTTCTTCTGACCCAAATTTGAAAGTAGTTAATCAACTGTTGATTATTTGTGTCTTATTTTCAGAGATAGTTCCGCCCAAAAGTCTAGGCCAAGCTGTCACTCTCAGGAGTGACTGGTAGCCATGGCAATCAAGCTGAAGATATTAGCTCGTGCCGACGTAAAATGATAAAAGTTTGAGCGTAGATTGCACCTACATTCATCAGACAAAACAATTTTAAATCACTACATAATGTACCTTTAGACACATCTGCAGATTCATAAAATCAGCACATCTTTTAAATAAAAATTGTATAAACATTATTTAGTTTACAAAAGTAAGACGTTATTACAGCATTACTCACCAGCAGACTTTCCAAGAAAAATGGAGTATCTATTTTTCCTGTTCAGGAAATAACTGGTGTTGGGCCAACTGGCGTGGAGACGCCTATGTGGGTGCAATCAATAGCACCAACCATATTTACGCCAGGGAAATGGCAGTAATTATAAAATTCATGTTGGGTCTTCACTCTGCAGGACTGCCTCTCTTGTTGAAAGAATTGAGATGTATTGCTCCGATCTCCTGGCAATGGCTATTGAGATGGACTTCACAAGGCGGGTCACAGTAGCTTGGGAGAGGCCTTCTTTTTTCATCCCCATGCATCAATTGAAAAGAACCTGAAATAGCAGAAAATCAAGATGAAAAATATGTTGATATTTGATAAGAAATTACAATTTCTCTTTCTCTGTAGTTTACTAATAGTAAGCTAGGTCTACTGTACCATTATCAGCAAATGTATATGTCAAAAAAGGAAGCTTCTGTCCATTTCCTTTCAATTCCTATAAGACCTGTCAAGACTAGACTCTTATTGATGAAATTTAGATTTCTTGGGGAGGGGGGGGGGGGGGGTGGGTGGTTATGAAAATCATCATCATCCTGTAGAAAATTATCCCAACAACAGCCACAACTAGCACTGCAGCTCAGGCAGAGGTGTTACCAGACCGAAATTTCCGTCTTTTTCGTTCATTAGCCTCTGATTTGGGTAGGGTCGGCTCCTGAAAAAGATCCTACCCAAATCAGAGGCTAACGAACGAAAGCGACAGCCAGATCTAGATTTAGGCCTAGGCCTAGTGCTAGTCCACTTTTAGGCAACAGCGTCTCGAAAATCAACTATAAAAGTAGTTTCTACGTCTAGCAATGATATTTTTAAGGTGGTGTTAAGATGGTATATGCGTACGAAAGTACAATAGTGGCCAGAAAAAAATTACCCGGTAAGAAATTGCTCAATCTCAGGAAACGAAAATGTTAACCGACAATTATTTGCACGTATGGGACTGGTCTGCAATCACCATGAAAATTAACCAAGTTTCTCCCAAATTTATTCAGTTAAAAGCATTTTAGATTATCACCAGTACAGCAAAATGAAAGTAACAAAAATATTTTATTAGCTGGTGTAACTTTCATGAGCGCTTATCCATGCAAAAGAGTGTAAATTGTTATCAAATATAGAAATTCAAATGCAAAACTTACCGTTCACTCTCCGCGGACACTCGATTTAACTAAAACGTGACGTCACGCGAAGTTAGGCCGAACTATGACGTATTTAAACCTGCCCTCTGAGCGGCCTAAAGTTAGGCCGAACTATGACGTATTTAAGCCTGGCTTATCTTTAGGCCACCTTCGAGAATAGCGAAAAAGATAGTCCATGGTTTAAACCAGGTTTAGGCCACTGATTTAACTTAGGCCGCTTTCGAGAATACCACCCATTGGGTGGTATTCTCGAAAGCGGCCTAAGTTAAACCTGGCCTAAGTTAAACCGTGGTTTAGTTAGGCCAGGCTTAACTTAGGCCGCTGACCTAAGTCATTTTCATTTCTCGAAAGGTGGCCTAACTGATCCATGGTTTAAACCTGGCCTAACTTAGTCCATGGATTATTCACCATGGTTACAGTTTCTGCACATGCTCAGTACCGAAGCTGCGACGTCACAATGCACTAAGACAATAGATGCGCGCAGTGTGGAGAGGATGCATCACCTCGACAACTTGAGCAATATGACGTCACAATGCACTAAGACAATGGGCTAAGACAATGGATGCGCGCAGTGTGGAGAGGATGCATCACCTCAACAACTTGAGCAATATGACGTCCAGGGACGGCGGAGCGACTTCCAAAGCGGGGGGCAGCACCAACAAAAAGGGCACTGCCACTTGCTGGAATTGTATCATTGTTAAAAGGGAAATTATCAGAGGTGAAAAGGGTCACATATCGCACCTGAAAAGGGGCATTGAACATATTTTAAAAGGGGCACTTATGAGAATGAAAAAGAGGCACTTATAATAAAGGAAATGTGCATTTGTTGAAAGAAAAGGGGTACCGATAATTTTGTTAATAGGGGCACCTCTCAGATTTAAATAGGGCAATTATCAGAGGTGAAGGGGCACTTCTCAAAAGTGAAAAGGGGCACTTATTGCAAAGGAAAATGGAAACTTGTCAAAGGAAAAGGGGCGCGTGTCAAAATTAAAGGAGCACTTATCAGAGGTGAAAAGGGGAAGGGACACTTTTCCTATGGAAAAGGGGGCACTTCTTACAAAGTTAAAAGGGAACTTTCCTATATAAAAAGGGGCATTTGAAAAAGGGGGCACTGTACCCCCCAACTCTTTCTCCCTATCTCCATCTCTCTCTCTCTCTCTCTCTCTCTCTCTCACACACACACTATCTCACATCATTGTTTATTTCTCTCACCATTAAATTGTTCTTTCTCATTTGGTTCCCTTTCTCTTTTACTCTATCTCTCTCTCTCTCGCTCGCTCTCTGTTCTCTCACTGTTCTATTTCAAGACTTTTTCCATGTATAATTCAATGAACCCAAAAATCAAAAGATATGAAAGGAATATTGTATATAACATATCAACAATTATGTTCAATTTATTTATTTTTCTTAAAACAGAAAAGATTGTAATTCACGATGAATACGATTATAAAATTGAATGTCAAAATCAAATATTAAGCTCCAATAGCCTCATAATCTGCTACTTGAAACTATTAGAATTAAATGTTATGTATTTGTTACATTACCTTCTCCCATTTTTTTTAAACAAAGCATAGTCTACTTTTGAGCCGTGTTTCTTTTGCAGGGAATCTGTTATATCATGACTTGCACTATATTATAAACACATTATAAAACATGATTTCTTAAATGATTCAAAATCACAATTTTTCCAGTGAAACAATGAACATCTGATGTACATAAAAACATCCTTATGAGTGATGGTTGCTTTGTGGTTCACACACACACAACAAGGACATATCAGGCTTTTTATCAATGGTTGCTTGTTTGTTACCATATCTTCATGTTATGAGGATTATAATACAAAGGTATTGATCCCCATGCAGTCACAGTTACAGCAGATGGAGTCTGGTTCATTGAAGAGGCTAAGTAGAACTTCATAGTCCTTGCAAGTATGTCTGTTGAATGAAAAGAGAAAAGAATGAAAGGAAGCACATTGAAACCTATTTCTGTTAAACATTAAAAAGGTCTTGCATGTACATTGTGGTAAAAGTGGAGTGCATAATCAATTACATAAAAGTATTGATGGAAAAATGTGAATGAACAAATGCCATCCTTGAAGTACCTGGGCATACAAACAACAACTTATTCTTACAGCCTACCTGTCAGAAATTCAGCAGCTCAGTAGTTCTCCTTCCTCTCTCTGAATTTGTCTCAGTTATCGGGGAATTTGCCTTCATTTATTTTACTGAAGAAAAACATCATCCTGAAACAAAAATTAAAAGGTTTAGACCTCATTAAAATATCAAAGATCTACTCCATTGATAATTGTTCTTAGTTATAGTGTCAATCATATTCTAACTTAAACAAAAAACTTAAGGCGCCTTTCATGTAGGCAGTGACTAGGCACCCCCTCCCCACTCAGTTACTAGTAATCATTGATTTACAGAATGACTACCGGTATCTCTTTTAAAGTCAAGAACAAACATACACATTCTTGCAGTACTATCTCATAAATGTGCTTGCACCAAGTTGTACTTGTCATGTCATGGCCTAAGAAAGCCCTAAGTAGTTAAAGTCTATAGCCAAGTTAGTCCCTTTCCTAAAATTAAGTTTAGAGGTCTACATATTACTTATAAAACCAGCCGACAGTTGGCCTAACCTAGATGTAAACGCAGCCTGGAATGGAGATTTTACAAGGCCCTAATCGTTAGAGCCCAACTTTTCCGTTTTAGTTCAATCTAACATTAGACCAAAGATTGTCTTTGTTAATTGTTATGTTATCTCCCAAAATGAGCTTCGTGAAAGGGGAAAAAGTAAAATGAAAATTTACTGCACTGTACTGTACTGCAGTCTGTAGGTCTCTAAGTCTTATATGGTCCAGAATTGTTAGCGGTAGGTTTGAATTTTCTTCTGACCCAAATTTTAAAGAAGTTAATCAACTGTTGATTATTTGTGTCTTATTTTCAGAGATAGTTCCTCCCAAAAGTCTAGACCAAGCTGTCACTGTCAGGAGTGACTGGTAGCCATGGCAATTGAGCTGAAAATATTAGCTCGTGCCGATGTAAAATGAATAAAAGTTTGAGTGTAGATTGCACCTACATTCATCAGACAAAACAATTTTAAATCACTTCATAATGTACCTGTAGACACATCTGCAGATTCATAAAATCAGGAGATCTTTTAATAAAAATTGTATAAACATGATTTAGTTTACAAAATTTAGGCGTAATTACAGCTTTACTCACCAGCAGACTTTCCAAGAAAAATGGAGTATCTATTTTTCCTGTTCAGGAAATAACTGGTGTTGGGCCAACTGGCTTGGAGATGCCTATGTGGGTGCACCATATTAACGCCAGGGAAATGGCAGTAATTATAACATTCATGTTGGGTCTGCACTCTGCAGGACTGCCTCTCTTGTTGAAGGAATTGAGATGTATTGCTCCCATCTCCTGGCAATGGCTATTGAGATGGACTTCACAAGAACACCATAGCTTGGGAGAGGCCTTCTTTTTTCATCCCCATGCATCAATTGAAAAGAACCTGAAATAGCAGAAAATCAAGATGAAAAATATGTTGATATTTGATAAGAAATTACAATTTCTCTTTCTCTGTAGTTTACTAACTACTGTAATAGTATTATTAGACTAAACTACTGTTACAGTAACATTATCAGCAAATGTATGTCAAAAAAAGGAAGCTTCTGTCCATTTCCTTTCAATTTCTATTAGACCTGTCTAGACTAGACTCTGATGAAATTTAGATCTAGGTCTATTAATATTGTTTTAACAAAAAAAGTTTTTTTCTTGGGGGGGGGGGGGGGGTGGGTGGTTATGAAAATCATCACACCAACAGCCACAACTAGCACTGCACTGCAGCTCAGGCAGAGGTGATACCAGACCGAAATTTCTGTCTCTTTCATTTGTTAGCCTCTGATTTGGGTAGGGTCGGCTGAAAGAGAGGAGCCGATGTTATGTTTAGAAACAGGTTCATTGAAACTAACATGCAATTGAAATTAACATGCCACTTAGAAATGCACTGCAGCTGTTAGGCACAGTTCATTGTTATTCATATTAGATGCATAGGGCCTACACACAATGCAAGTGTATGCAAGGGTCTTCTGTTCACTACATTATACATGTAAAAGCACATGGATATTGAGTCTGGATTAAACTACCAAAGCAACCACACGTGTTTCTGCAGGCTCCATTTTGTTTGTCTCTATATACTTACATTTATTTAGCTTAATAGTTATTAGCCTACTTTCCAACCCAAATTACAACAGCCGACACTACCCAAATCAGAGGCTAACAAACGAAAGAGACTGCTAGTCCACTTTTAGGCAACATCGTCTCGAAAATCCACTATAAAAGTAGTTTCTACGTCTAGCAATGATAGTTTTAAGGTGGTGTTAAGGTGGTATATGCGTACGAAAGGACAATAGTGCCAAGAAAAAGAATTACCCGGTAAGAAATTGCTCAATCTCAGGAAACGAAAATGTTAACCGACAATTATTTGCACGTATGGGACTGCTCTGCGAACACTGTGAACATTTACCAAGTTTCCTCCAAATTTATTCAGTTAAAAGCATTTTAGATTATCACCAGTACAGCAACATGAAAGTAAAAAAAATACTTTATTAGCTGGTGTAACTTTCATGAGCGCTTATCCATACAAAAGAGTGTAAATTGTTATCAAATATAGAAATTCAAATGCAAAACTTACCGTTCACTCTCCGCGGACAGTCGATTTAACTAAAAAGTGACGTCACGCGAAGTTAGGCCGAACTATGACGTATTTAAACCTGCCCTCTGAGCCGCCTAAAGTTAGGCCGAACTATGACGTATTTAAGCCTGGCTTATCTTTAGGCCACCTTCGAGAATAGCAAAAAAGATAGTCCATGGTTTAAACCAGGTTTAGGCCACTGATTTAACTTAGGCCGCTTTCGAGAATACCACCCATAGGGTGGTATTCTCGAAAGCGGCCTAAGTTAAATCAGTGGCCTAAACCTGGTTTAAACCATGGACTATCTTTTTTGCTATTCTCGAAGGTGGCCTAAAGATAAGCCAGGCTCAAATACGTCAAAGTTCGGCCTAACTTTAGGCGGCTCAGAGGGCAGGTTTAAATACGTCATAGTTCGGCCTAACTTCGCGTGACGTCACTTTTTAGTTAAATCGACTGTCCGCGGAGAGTGAACGGTAAGTTTTGCATTTGAATTTCTATATTTGATAACAATTTACACTCTTTTGTATGGATAAGCGCTCATGAAAGTTACACCAGCTAATAAAGTATTTTTGTTACTTTCATGTTGCTGTACTGGTGATAATCTAAAATGCTTTTAACTGAATAAATTTGGGGAAAACTTGATAAATGTTCACATTGTTCGCAGAGCAGTCCCATACGTGCAAATAATTGTCGGTTAACATTTTCATTTCCTGAGATTGAGCAATTTCTTACCGGGTAATTTTTTTCTTGGCACTATTGTACTTTCGTACGCTTATACGACCTTAACATCACCTTAAAAATCATTGCTAGACGTAGAAACTACTTTTATAGTGGATTTTCGAGACGCTGTTGCCTAAAAGTGGACTAGCACTAGGCCTAAATCTAGATCTAGCTGTCTCTTTCGTTCGTTAGCCTCTGATTTGGTCGGCTCCTCTCTTTCAGGAGCCGACCCTACCCAAATCAGAGGCTAACGAACGAAAGAGACAGAAATTTCGGTCTGGTATCACCTCTGTCTGAGCTGCAGTGCTAGTTGTGGCTGTTGGTGCGATCATTTCCTACAGGATGATGATGATTTTCATAACCACCCCAAGAAAACATTTAAAAAAAAATGTTAGGCCTACTAGACCTAGACCTCTAGCCGGCTCTAGACTTGATCTTAATTTCATCAATAAGAGTCTAGTCTAGACAGGTCTAATACAAATTGAAAGGAAATGGACAGAAGCTTCCTTTTTTGACATAGGTCTACATTTGCTGATAATGTTACAGTAGTTTAGGCTTATAATACTTGTTAGTAAACTAGACGTCTACAGAGAAATAATTGTAATTTCTTATCAAATATCAACATATTTTTTCATCTTGATTTTCTGCTATTTCAGGTTCTTTTCAATTGATGCATGGGGATGGAGAAAAAAGGCCTCTCCCAAGCTATGGTGTCCCGCCTTGTGAAGTCCATCTCAATAGCCATTGCCAGGAGATGGGAGCAATACATCACAATTCCTTCAGCAAGAGAGGCAGTCCTTCAGAGTGCAGACCCAACATGAATTGTATAATTACTGCCATTTCCCTGGCGTTAATATGGTCGGTGCTATTGATTGCACCCACATAGGCATCTCCAAGCCAGTTGGCCCAACACCAGTTATTTCCTGAACAGGAAAAAATAGATACTCCATTTTTCTTGGAAAGTCTGCTGGTGAGTAAAGCTGTAATTACGCCTAAATTTTGTAAACTAAATCATGTTTATACAATTTGTATTAAAAAGATCTGCTGAATTTATGAATTTGCAGATGTGTCTACAGGTACATTATGAAGTGATTTAAAATTGTTTTGTCTGATAAATGTAGGTGCAATCTACACTCAAACTTTTATTCATTTTACATGGGCACGAGCTAATATTTCAGCTCGATTGCCATGGCTACCAGTCATTCCTGACAGTGACAGCTTGGCCTAGACTTTTGGGCGGAACTACCTGAAAATAAGACACAAATAATCAACAGTTGATTAACTACTTTCAAATTTGGGTCAGAAGAAAATTCAAACCTACCACTAACAATTCTGGAACAAATAAGACTTAGAGACCTACAGACTACAGTACAGTGCAGTAAATTTTACTTTTACCTTTTCCCCTTTCACGAAGCTCATTTTGGGAGATAACATAAACAAAGACACTCTTTGGTCTAATGTTAGATTGAACTGAAATGGAAAAGTTGGGCTCTAACGATTAGGGTCTTGTAAAATCTCCATTCCAGGCTGCGTTTACATCTAGGTTAGGCCAACTGTCGGCTTGTTATCTAAGTAACATGTAGACTTGATTTCAGGAAAGGGACTAACTTCGCTATAGACTTTAACTACTTAGGGCTTTCTTAGGCCATGACATGGCAAGTAAAACTTGGTGCAAGCACATTTATGAGATAGTACTGCAAGAATGTGTATGTTTGTTCTTGACTTTAAAAGAGATACTGGTAGTCATTCTGTAAATCAATGATTACTAGTAACTGAGTGGGGAGGGGGTGCCTAGTCACTGCCTACATGAAAGGCGCCTTAAGTTTTTTTTTTAAAGTTAGAATATTATTGATACTATAACTAAGACCAATTATCAATGGAGTAGATCTTTGATATTTTAATGAGGTCTAAACCTTTTTATTTTTGTTTCAGGATGATGTTTTTCTTCAGTAAAATAAATGAAGGCAAATTCCCTGATAACTGAGACAAATTCAGAGAGAGGAAGGAGAACTACTGAGCTGCTGAATTTCTGACAGGTAGGCTGTACGAATAAGTTGTTCTTTGTATGCCCAGGTACTTCAAGGATGGCATTTGTTCATTCACATTTTTCCATCAATACTTTCATGTAATTGATTAATATGCACTCCACTTTTACCACAATGTACATGCAAGACCTTTTTAATGTTTAACAAAAATAGGTTTCAATGTGCTTCCTTTCATTCTTTTCTCTTTTCATTCAACAGACATACTTGCAAGGACTATGAAGTTCTACTTAGCCTCTTCAATGAACCAGACTCCATCTGCTGTAACTGTGACTGCATGGGGATCAAAACCTGTGTATTATAATCCTCATAACATGAAGCTATGGTAACAAACAAGCAACCATTGATAAATTGATATGTCCTTGTTGTGTGTGTGAACCACAAAGCAACCATCACTCATAAGGATGTTTTTATGTACATCAGATGTTCATTGTTTCACTAGAAAAATTGTGATTTTGAATCATTTAAGAAATCATGTTTTATAATGCATTTTATAATATAGTGCAAGTCATGATATAACAGATTCCCTGCAAAAGAAACACGGCTCAAAAGTAGACTAAGCTTTGTTTTAAAAAAATGGGAGAAATTAGTGTAACGAATACATAACATTTAATTCTAATAATTTTAAGTAGCAGATTATGAGGCTATTGGAGCTTAATATTTGACTTTCAATTTTATAATCGTATTCATCGTGAATTCCAATCTTTTCTGTTTTAAGAAAAATAAATAAATTGAACATAATTGTTGATATGTTATATACAATATTCCTTTCATATCTTTTGATTGTAAGTGTGCATACTGTTGGGTTCATCGAATTATACATGGAAAAAGTCTTGAAATAGAGCAGTGAGAGAACAGAGAGCGAGCGAGAGAGAGAGATGGAGTAAAAGAGAAAGGGAACCAAATGAGAAAGAACAATTTAATGGTGAGAGAAATAAACAATGATGTGAGATAGTATATGTGTGTGAGAGAGAGATGGAGATAGGAAGAAAGAGTTGGGGGGGGGGGGGTACAGTGCCCCCTTTTTCAAATGCCCCTTTTTATATAGGAAAGTTCCCTTTTAACTTTGTAAGAAGTGCCCCTTTTTCCATAGGTGAAGTGCCCCTTCCCCTTTTCACCTCTGATAAGTGCTCCTTTAATTTTGACACGGGCCCCTTTTCCTTTGACAAGTTTCCATTTCCTTTGCAATAAGTGCCCCTTTTCACTTTTGAGAAGTGCCCCTTCACCTTTGATAATTGCCCTATTTAAATCTGAGAGGTGCCCCTATTAACAAAATTATCGGTGCCCCTTTTCTTTCAACAAATGCACATTTCCTTTATTATAAGTGCCTCTTTTTCATTCTCATAAGTGCCCCTTTTAAAATATGTTCAATGCCCCTTTTCAGGTGCGATATGTGACCCTTTTCACCTCTGATAATTTCCCTTTTAACAATGATACAATTCCAGCAAGTGCCCTTTTTGTTGGTGCTGCCCCCCGCTTTGGAAGTCGCTCCGTCGTCCCTGGACGTCATATTGCTCAAGTTGTCGAGGTGATGCATCCTCTCCACACTGCGCGCATCCATTGTCTTAGCCCATTGTCTTAGTGCATTGTGACGTCATATTGCTCAAGTTGTCGAGGTGATCGATGCATCCTCTCCACACTGCGCGCATCCATTGTCTTAGTGCATTGTGACGTCGCAGCTTCGGTACTGAGCATGTGCAGAAACCGTAACCATGGTGAATAATCCATGGACTAAGTTAGGCCAGGTTTAAACCATGGATCAGTTAGGCCACCTTTCGAGAAATGAAAATGACTTAGGTCAGCGGCCTAAGTTAAGCCTGGCCTAACTAAACCACGGTTTAACTTAGGCCAGGTTTAACTTAGGCCGCTTTCGAGAATACCACCCTTAGAGTTTAGAAGAAGTAATGATATCGTTTATATAAACCAAGACAAGTAAATAACCCAATATGGACCCTTGGGGCACTCCGCATCGAATTTGCTTATTTGAAGATGTATGTTTATTGATAACTACAAATTGAGACCGGTCTAACAAATAACTCTTAAACAATAATAATAATAAATGTCCACGAATTCCATAATCTTCCAATTTGCTCAACAATATAAAATGATCTAATGTATCGAAGGCTTTGTTCAAATCGACCAACAATCCAAGTATCCAACCATGTATTCTTTAAAATCGATAGCTTTACAAGCTTTGTGAATACATTCAAGAAGCGCCATCGATGCGGAGTGTCCCGAGTGGAAACCATATTGATTATCAGAAAAAAAGTATTACATGAAAATAGAAAATCATTCAAACGTTTGTACAAGCACTTCTCAAAAATATTTGAAAATAAAGGTAAGACAGATATTGGGCGGTAATTTTTGGCATAACTAACATCGCCTGATTTAAAAACTGGGATTACTTTTGCTATTTTTAATTGAGTAGTGAATACACCATATGAAATACAAGAATGAAATATACAACATAATTG